GATGTGCGGGATATAATAGAAGGTCAAAGAGGAGTATTCCAGGACTGGAGTATTGTTAGAGCCTGAGCTTGCCACTGACCACCAGTGCTGGGAGGGGTTGGGGAGTAACACATTACTACAACTAACCAGCAATGAAGTGGGAGCTTGGCAATGACCACCAGTGCCGGGGGGAGTAACATTACTACCACTGACCAACAATGAAGGTGGAGCTTGCCAATGACCTCCAGTGCTGGGGGGGAGTAACAATACCACCAATGCTGGGGGGGGGGATTAACAATACTACCACTGACCACCTATAAAGGAGGAGCTTGCCAATGACCAACAATGCTGGGGGGGGGGTTAACAATACTACCACTGACCAGCAATGAAGGAAGGAATTATGGTGGCCACTGACCACCAATGCTGAGGGTTTTAACATTACGACCACTGACCACCAGTAAAGGAGGAGATTATGGTGGCCATGTACACCAGTCCTGGGGGTTACTATTACTGCCAATAATCACCAATGAAGAAGGAGAATATGGTGGCGACTTACACCAGTGCTGAGGGTTACTATTACTGCCACTGACCACCAATGAAGGAGACTATGGTAGCCATGTACGCCAATCCCGGGGGTTGTTATTACTACCTCTGACCACCAATGAAGGAGGGGATTATGGTAGCCACGTGCTGAGGGTTACTATTACTAATACCAATGCTGGGGCTTTTTATACTCCCACCTTATAATCCATACACTGTATAGTCTCTCACCCACTTTTCTGGCCACATCTGCAAGTGTTTGGCGTGTGGCAATCTTATAACGATAAATATCGGTACTCGATACCGAGAAACTGGTATCAGTGCATCCCTAGTCATTATACTCCCTTTTTCGGATTTTTTTATTGCAATGGCGTTATTAATTTGTCAGTAGGATCCGCCCACGAGGAGCCTTGATAAAGGTTTGCGAACCAGAAAACGGAAAATTGTTTACTTACCTATCGGTAATTTTCCTTTCCTGCCGCCAATACATGGCAGCATACAATGGGGGCGGAGCCATATCCATTGTATGCTGCCATGGATTGGCGTCAGGAAAGCGGAAAATTGTATACTTACCTATCGGTAATTTTCCTTTCCTGACGCCAATACATGGCAGCATACAATGGGTATGGCTCCGCCCCCATTGTATGCTGCCATGGATTGGCGTCAGGAAAGGATTTTTCCTAGAGGCAGATTTGGGTGCCGTTCTAATGCAGGGGTGCCGAAGGGATGCTCATTATTATAAACACCCCCCCAGGCAGCAAGGGGTTACAAAGGAGATTAGTCATCCACGCGGCGGATCTTTTTACCAAGTCAATGGTGGAATCTTCTCACTGGATATAATGTTTCCAGTGTGGACAATGTCAGAGCGTTGGGGGATAGCTGCAGTATAAGATGATCCGTCTATACATCAGATAGGGACGGCTCTACGGATCACATCGCCTGTCAGGGAAGAAAGTGTTTAGGAAAGCTCCGTGTGTACAGCCGCCGCGAGCTTAATGTCGGATCACATAGCAATTAATCAACAATAATCTGAGATATCCCCGGAACACAGCACGAGACACATCATCGACGCATTTCACGCCGCATAGGCAGATCGCGTATCTTTTTGGAGCAGGACTGCTACTTAAAGAGACAATGTCATCATAAAGGAGAAGGTCAAAGAATTCTACGGGGTCCATCCAGAGGCGCCCCCCGAGGCGGGGGTGACACTCCGCCGCGACGTCGTTGCGTACACGTGTGACGTCATCGCGCATGCGCGTGATGACGTCACGCGAGGCACCGCTGTTGCCTGCCGGCGGCCATCTTGGTGCTGGACGCCGGCAGAGAGAGGAAGGGACGTCACCCGGCGGGATAATGCCGCTGGGCCCCTCCTCTCTCAAGCGACTGTTGGGCTCACGGCCCTTGAGCGAGTGCCCGACTCTTCAGAGTGGTGTGGCACCAAAATGACTGTCAGTCTTTTTTGGTGTCACCCCTCCAATGGTGTCACCCGGGTGCACCCCCCGCACCCACCATATTATACCAGACACTTAAAGTGACATTAAAGTCAAAAGGTTTTTTAATCTATTTCTAATGCTGATGAAAATCACTTACAATGGATGCGGCTCCTCGATGTCTAAAAGTTGTAATTTCCTGCAGAATCAGCTGGCTCCTTTCCCTTGCAAGGTCCTATGGAGCCACCCTTGTCTGTGCTAGTGAGCTCTGTGTGGTTCCTTTCCCTTACAGGGTCCTATGGAGACACCTTTGTCTGTGCTAGTGAGCTCTGTGTGGTTCCTTTCCCTTACAGGGTCCTATGGAGCCACACTTGTCTGTGCTAGTAAGCTCTGTCTGGTTCCTTTCCCTTGCAGTGCCCTATGGAAACACCCTTGTGTGTGCTAGTAACCTCTGTGTGGTTCCTTTCCCTTGCAGGGTCCTATGGAGACACCCTTGTCTGTGCTAGTAAGCTCTGTGTGGTTCCTTTCCCTTGCAAGGTCCTATGGAGACACCCTTGTGTGTGCTAGTGAGCTCTGTGTGGTTCCTTTCCCTTGCAGGGTCCTATGGAGACACCCTTGTGTGTGACTATAGACTAACAAATGCATACAAATGTAAACAAACAAAATCAACCTTTTTTTCTATTTTTTAAAATTTAATTTATCATTTATTTTTTTTAATAGTGCAACTGTATCTGACAATCGCACTATTAAACAGATGACGCTGCAGATGAACAATGCAGCCAAAGGCTAGGTTCACACCTAGGAGACACCTCACCACGCGGCAATCGTGCACGATTCAGGAGTGTGAACCGTTCGCGCTGTGGGTGCCGTTATTTTCTAATAGCCGCGCCCCACAGATCGCGTGGTTTCCCGCCGCAATTCCACCCGTGCTTCCGAACACAGCCGCTCGTCGTGCATCGAAGAAAAAAAAAAAGGTACATGCGCCTTTTTTCTGCGATTGCCGTGCGGATGTCACCCCATTGAAATTTAATGATTGAAATCAATGGGGCCGCGCGGAAATCGCTGCCTGCATTGTGCAGGACCGCGCGATCCCCGGGGGGGGGGCGTGTCCCGGGTGTCATGCGGTGTAGTGCAGGTGGGAACCTAGCCTCAAGGTGTCAGGATTCCTCTGCAAGCTGAAGAGGGTTGTTGTTGTTTTTTTTGTCAGTGAGACCTTTAGCCTGCATGTGATCAGTGGTCACATGACTGGGAACCACTCTGATTGGTCAACGATCGTCAGCAAGGATTGAGGATCAGCAGGTTCTTAAAGGGGAAAGCATGTACAGTATTTCCGTATCTTCAGGATGGGGAAAGGGAATGTTAACATTGAGATTGGGGATGGGAAGGGGTTAAGGGACTATGTCAGGTCCACTATGCTGTATAAAGTAATATTACTAGTATACGGCCTGGACTAGTAATGGTAGTTTACACCCTTAAGCTGACCTGACGAGTTCACTTTAAAAAACATTTTAATATTATATATAAGAAAAAAAGAAAATAAACTAACACTGGAGGTTCCAAATTTACCTGAAAAAGGCGGCATAAAACAACATAATTTGCCCTAATTGACACTTCATAAATAATTAACTTCAGGCCGGTCCCACCCCAGAGACTGGCAGCTGTTTAGACTAGCGGGCGCTCGGGTTTCTGTGATGATGTTCAGCCACCGTTGCCGTTTCTCGCTCCAGATTATAAAAACACGACACCAATCAGTGTAAACACAATCTCCGTACGCCGCAGAATGGCCCACTTGTGGCTGAAACTAAACAATGTTCCCCCTTCATAGCTCCCTATATACTGAGCCTAGGGTGACGGGAGGACGCTAGTTTGTGTCCTCCCGTTACCCTAAGGAGAACTATGGGGCAAAGCCTTAACCCCATAGTTCTCCTTTAAAGTGTATGTAAACCTAAGAACATAAATGTAATATATTGCAGGTTACCGGTCCTTAGATGTGGTGGCTGCTGGGGATTCATCCAATACCGATACTGGTATTGGTATCGGTGCCGATACTGAGTATTTGGGCGAGTACTCATAGTCACCCAAATGCTCTCTATACTTCTCCCGATATCACAACTTCTGGTAATCAGGAAGGCGGGCGGCGAGTTATTACACGTCACCCGGCTTCCTGATTGGCCGGGAAGCCGGCTCCATACACCCTTGTCACCAGGGAGCATGGAGCCAGCTTCCTTATTGGTAAGCCCGGCTTCCTGATTGGTAAACCGGCCAATCAGAAAGCCGGGCAGGGAGTCCCGATTGGCTAGAAAGCCGGCTTCATGCTTCGTCATCTGGTAACGAGGGAGCATGGAGCCGGCTTCCCTGCCAATCAGGAAGCTGGGCGGCGAATCATTACCCGCCCCACGACTTCCCGATTGGGCAGAAAGCAGGCTCTATGCTTGCATAGTCACCTGGTGATGAGGGAGCATGGAGCTGGATTCCTGGCTGATCAGGAAGCCGGGCGGCGTGTAATGACTGGTCAGGAAACTAGCGGATCAGGAAGCCAAACTGTGAGTCATTACCCGCCTTCCCGGCTAATCAGGAAGCCGGGCGGTGAGTCATTGATGGGACTTCCGGTATCAGCGAGTAAAAATATCGGTACTCATAATCAATACCAAAAAAACGGTATCGGTGCATCCCTGCTCTGTAGTTGCACATAAGCAAAGGGACAGGATGCTTGTGGTCCCATCATTGACCATATATGGCCACATGACCATATTAGGTCAATGACCAAATATAGCCAAGTGGCCATATAAGGTCAATGATGTTACAGTATCCCGCCCCTTTGCTTACATTCAGCTGCAGGAGGGGAATTTCCCGGCTGCAGACGATTGGGCGGCAGTGGAAGGAGCTTCCTCCAGGGGGAAGTGCTCAGATTCGGACCAGGTAGAGCATCCCCAGTGGTGGCAACGGTGACCCATCTCTGTGGTATGTTTTGGAATGGTCAGTTGTAGTCTCCATGAGAAGTGCATGTGACGGGGCGACAATGCTGGAACACTCTCCATTGTGCCGACTTACCGATCTTGCCATAGTTTTGCTCTAGAAGATCCCCCAATCCAATCTCCGTCCAGAAACTGTCATGCCACCCACCATCGGGGGCGTAAGTCCATTTACAGACCAGAGTGCACAAAGACCTGCCGGGAGAAAAGTCAAATATTTTACCCACGGTGACATACTACATACCTGCTACTATTCTGAACACCGACCAATTCAGGCTGATATCCTTTATTTTCACCGCGGTCAGGTGAACCCTTTTGTAGGGATGCCATGAGACCGATTTTTTAGGTATCGAGTACCGCTATTTATACTTCGCTACTCGTCGATCCTGAGTACCGATACTGGTACTTCTGCTAGCATGGAGCCGGCTTCCAGGACAATCAGGAAGCAGGGTGGCGTTTCATTAAGCACCACCCGGCTTCCTGATTGGCCAGGAAGCCGGTTCTATGCTGTTTGGCCGAATAGATGCTGATTGGCTGGGAAGCCAGCTTCCCCGCCAATCAGGAAGCCAGGTGGCGGCTAATGACTTGTTGTCCTGCTTCCTGATTGCTTGGGAAGCCAGCTACATGCTGTTTGGCCGGCTCAATGCGGATTGACTGGGAAGCCAGCTTCACGACCAAACATCATGAAGCCGGCTTCCCAGCCAATCAGGAAGCAGGGAGACAAGTCATTAGCCGCCGCCTGGCTATCGGTACGGGGACAAGGTGCTTTTCCAGGGGCGATCCCTTGTGAATGTATACAGCGATATATGTATCACTATGATATGTAGAGGGTGAATGTATACAGCGATATATGTATCACTATGATATGTAGAGGGTGAATGTATACAGCGATATATGTATCACTATAGATATGTAGACAGTGAATGTATACAGCGATAGGATATGTATCACTATAGATATGTAGACGGTGAATGTATACAGCGATATATGTATCACTATAGATATGTAGACAGTGAATGTATACAGCGATAGGATATGTATCACTATAGACACGTAGACGGTGAATGTATACAGTGATGTGATATGTATCACTATAGATATGTAGACGGTGAATGTATACAGCGATATATGTATCACTATAGATACGTAGACGGTGAATGTATACAGTGATGTGATATGTATCACTATAGATATGTAGACGGTGAATGTATACAGGGATGTGATATGTATCACTATGATATGTAGACGGTGAATGTATACAGTGATGTGATATGTATCAATATAGATACGTAGACGGTGAATGTATGAAGTGAATGTCTGCGCTGTTCACTGTTGCGCTGTTGCGTGTTCACCAGACTATACATAACGGGAGCGGCAGACGGACAGACGGTGCGGCACGTTCACCTTATACATTTTTTATGACTGGAGACTGACATAGAAAGAAGCGCAGGAACAAAGTCTGCAGATAAAAGGTAATAATGTGTGTTTAATGTTTTTATTTTTAGGATTCAGGCGGAGGCAGCTGCACCCTCC